CTCGGCCGCCTGCCCCTGACCCTGGACCCTGGGACCCCGTGGCTGAGCTCGGCCACCTGCCCCTCAGTGCAGCGTGTGCTTACTCTCAACGTCTCCGTGGCCTTCACCAGAGTCTCAAGAGTTTTTTCAGTTAATTTCAAATATCATACAGCACCTCTTGTGACTGGGATCTGATTTTCTGTGAAATTTCCCTGTTGGCTGTGATTGGGTTTCAGGCCCATCCCGGCACCTCGGCTGTGGATTCTGCAGCCCCTCCTGTGCCCCTGGACCCCGCCCACGGGGGTCCTGTAAACAGCTGGGGACTGGGAACTCCCCTCCCCACCGAGCTCCAGTGGGAGCGACACTCAAGCTCTGGCTTCGAGGATGGCGGCTGTGCTGAGCCACGCTCCATCCGGGCAGCCCCTGGCCGGGCCAAAGGTCAGGGTGAAGTGACCGCAGGGCTTCTGCAGTGAGGCCCAGATGGTCTGCACGGGTGGGACCTGCTGTCTCCCCAGGCAGCTGTGCCAGAGCGGGACAGCCCTGGCTGTGGGAGGGCAGTGGCATGTGTGCCCTCAGAGAAACTGCGGCCTCTGCTGTCCCTGCCAACACGATGCAGGATGCGTCCGTGAGCGCGGAACCTCTTCGCCCTGCCGCTCTCCGCCACCACAGAGGCGCTTCCGAGAGCGCCACCTCGGCATCCTGCAGGTGGAAGGCAGGCTCCTGCTGGCCAGAAGCATTTCCATAGGCCGCTGGGGCCCCACAGTCGCCACACAGGGCCTGGCGAGGTGACCACGCTGACCCGAAAGAGCCCAAAGCAGGACTGAGAGATGCCGGTGTGGAAGGAAACTTCCAGAAGCCTCATCTCGTGCCCTTCACACCAGTGACGTCTCCACTGCAGACACTCCCATGGTGAGTCAGGTCTGGTGTCTCACCTGAGGTGGCAGCATGGGCCTGTAGGACCCAGCAGGGGTGCACCAGGGGCCGCAGTTCAGCATAAATGCTGAGTTCTGGGATTGACGCAGCACACGAAGGTGACTTCTAAGTCAGAAGCTGGAGCCAAGCCAGTTCTCTCTCCCCGTGCGCCCCACAGAGCCTGGAGAGCCAGTGCCGCCTGACGCCCCTTCAGGGCACGGAGAGAAACCAGGGTGTGGCAGGAGGCCCAGCCACCCTCCATCCACAGGGACAGTGTCTGGCAGGCACTGCTGCTGAGAGAGACTGGGCTGCTGGGACCAGCGTGGAGAACAGGGACGCCCGAGCGGCAGCCGCCGCCTCCACACATCTGCTCCGGGAGGGACTGGGCCACGGGTCTCTGGCCCCGTGGCCTGCTCTGGGAGTGTTCACAGATGACAGAAGGAAGAAGCCTGGATGAGGGGTGTCCTGCCTGGCTGTCAGGGGCAGCACCCTCAATCCACAGCCAGAGGTACTCCCTGTGGCCCCCAACGCTCAGGGACAGATGCAGGAGGGGCTGGTTCCAGTTGGATCTGGGAAAGGCCAGTGTGGACTGCACACGTATCCACAGGCGGGAGGCGCTGGCGAGGCCATGCTGTGGAGCTGCAGGACACGGGGACGGGGTGCTGCCCACCAGCAAGTGATGCAGGAGGGCCGGGCACGTGGGCTTATCTGAAAGCACACCTGCCAGGTGGGTAGGGACACAGGAGAGGGGCGTACCTACCCCCTGCAGTGTGGGAGCAGCTGTGACAGGGTGAACGATTGTGCACCTGTGCTCTCCTGCAGCCTCTGCCTTTCCTCCCTGCCCCTCTCTCCTCCTGTAGGGTGCATGCAGTGGCTCCTGCAGGCTGCAAGGCTGAGTTTGCTGTGGCCAGGCTGATTGGCCCTGCTGACAAGGCCCAGCTTTAGGGCCTGAGCAGGCTGGGCTGGGCGGCTAAGGTTGCCACTGGTCCCAGAAGCTGACAGCAGGCGGAGAACAAAGCCTGGTTACGTCGCAGTCTTGGGGCAGGGCCGATGGCATGGGGGAGACCAGCAGGCCAGGGAAAGCCACCGAAGGTGTGCTGGGTGGGGACACAGCTTCGCCACCATGCTGGACGCCCTGAACCACAAGCAAACAAGCCATAGTTCACACCAGCTCCCAAGCTGTGCTCAGAGGAAGGGGCAGGAGCGCAGCCCCACGTATCCAGGCGGGCGTCAGGGCGAAAGCCCGTCCTCTGACTCCCGCCTGGCAGAAGGTTGACCAGTCATCATGCTGCTCTTGTGTGAGGAGCCGGAGGGTTTAGCACACTACAGAGAAAACAGCTTCGACGCAGGCCCGTCACAGTCAGCATGGCATCAAAGCCGCTCTGCGTCCCGTGCAGCCTGTGGGCGCCACCGCAATGGTGGTTTAGATACCGACTTCCAAATACAGCAGCTCCACTGAAACCCATGAGAAAGGAAAAAGCCCTGAGACCAAAGAAAAGGAACTAACCGGTGACAGCTCTGGCAACACTGAAGCTACCGAGGGGAGAAGGAAGCACAGACGTCTTCCCAGAGGGTCTAGGTGGGGCCGGGGGCGGGGCTCACGCCTGCCATCTCAGCACTTTGAGAGGCTGAGGCGGGAGACTCACTTGAACCCAGGAGTTTGAGACCAGCTTGGACGACATAGTGAGACTCCATCTCTATCCAAAATGAAAAAGTTAGCCAGGCATGGTGGTGCACATGGGTAGTCCCAGCTACCTGGGAGGCTTAGTGGGGAAGACTGCTTGAGCCCCCGGGATGGGGCTGCAGCGAGCCAAGATCAGCACTGCACTCCACCCTGGGCAAGAGGCGAGGCTGTCCCAGGCACTTCCCTCGCCCACGTCTCCAGGGACAAAGCTCTCAGGGCGGCCAGGCCCCTTGGCAGGCCTTTTCTGTGGGATGGGCTCCCTAACCATTCTCACCCTTGGCACGGGTCCCACAGTCTGCATGGGCCACAGGTAGCCAGGGTTCCTGACCACCAGGCGGACGGGCAGCCTCGCTCCCTCCTGAGCACCCAGCCTGCAGGCGTTAGAGCTCATTTTGCTAGATAATGATTGCACTATAAATACACATCTAAAGACAGGAGAACGTAAATTACGGACCACAGAAAGTCTGCAAGGGACTTCCTAATCCCTAATTTTACAATATATGTGTCCGTTAAAGAGACAGACCTCCGGCTGCACTTGTATGGGCAGCTCATTCCTGTGTGGCGTATATTTTTGTTTTTTTCAAAAGCTAAAACTTGATCTTGCTCAGTAATTGCTTCATTCAATGAAAATACCCCTTTCCCACCACTGAGAGTCAATCTTTCTTTGGCAAGGGGTGATTTTTCCCATTTGACTTCCTCCGAGTATAATAAAACTTTGAAAAGTTTCGATGGGTAGCGACAGAACTTCTAAATTTTCCCATTTATTTCAGTAAACTTCACTTCTTGGCACACACAAGGCCAAGTGCATGTGGGAAGTGGGTGCTTACCAGCCCACCGTACCCTGCGCTGGTCCCAGCCCAGAAGCCTCTGCCGGGGAAGGCAGCGGAGGGGCGGATTCCAGGACTGCAGCAGAGGCTCCCGCCTGCAGCGACGGCACCTGTGGAGTCCCAGGGCCTCCTCTCCACCCGTGCGACCCGGTTTTCAACTCACGTGGGGAGCTGTGCATGATGGCGGCTCGCTGCTAGCGGCTGCGGTGGCCTCCACGTCGGTGCTGGGTCTCGGTCCCACTCCTTGTGGGCACTGGGGCTACTTCCACGTTTTGGCCGGTTGTGGAGTTGGCGTGTGGTCCCTGTGGGTCCCTGGACCCTTGCCGCGGCCTGCAAGGTGAGCTCTACATTCACGAGGACACGGAGGCAATATTCACTGATTTCATGGAGCTGGGGTTGCACAGATGTGGCAAACGCTGACCAAAGTGGTAAAGCCACCGGCACCTGTGTGGGAACCAGACTGTGGCCGGACAGGCGGTGCTGGGCAGGGTCTCTCAGGGTCAATCCCTCAGCACTGAACAAAAAGCTCCCTTCACTTCTGAGTGAAACAGGAGAAGTGACTCCTTGTGTTGAGCCTCAGGCCTGGGTGGGATGAGACGGGACCTCCAGGAGCCCTCTGCCCTGCGGGACGACGTGGCCCTTGTCTCTCAGGGAGCGCGTCTGCGTCCGAGTCGTCAGCCAAAGCAGTGGCTCATTTTCGCGGACACCATCTTCTGCCAGAAGGACTGAGAGACTTTGTTCAGTCATTTTCTCATGCAGGCGGACGAGCCTGCCTCCACCAGCAGAAGCTCACGCCATTTGCTGCCAATGACAAAATTTCCGCTTTCAAGAAGACCCGAGGGTGCTGGAAAACGCATTCCTCCCAGAGGCTGGCGGCGACCCCACCACAGAGACTCCTCCGCTGAGCTCCGCGGTTCTGAGGGAGGTGCCGCCTGCCCTGGCCGCCGGATGTGCCCACATCGAGACTCCCGCACGCTGGGCAGCCAGGATTTCCCGGGCACCCGTGTGTGCGGCCGCCAGATCACGCCATGGCAGGAGGTGCCATCCCCGTGCGCAGAGCAACAGTCTCCACTGTTGTTCCTAGGGACACCCGTTCTCAAGGTCAGCCCGGAGGAGAGGAACCTGCCGCCTTCGGGCAGCAGCTGTGGCGCCCGTGGGTGTGGGGCTGCCCTGCTTCAGACTCCCCCCACCTCTGAGGCCGAACTTCAGCAAATTTCCAGAACGTGTGAAATACTGCCACTCTTCTCACTAATTATTTTGTGTTTGGAAAATAGGAATTTTTTCCACAAAAATGTTATTTATGTAATCATGTAACAAGTTTGTTATTGTTGTTTTTAAAATGAACTAATATTTAAGAACGAATGGCAATGGCCGGTGATGAGCCCACCCGGACTGAGGCTCTCGGGACCTGGTCTTCTTCTTAATAAACAGAACGACGTAGTCTCTTCACTACGTAAGCAGTCCACAGACACTTTGCTCCTGTGTAACGGGAACCCCCCGGCAATGGTCGGGACAGACAGTTCCCGTCCTCCATACACACCACGTTGTGTTTCTACACGCAAACGTCCACACATGGAGAGCCAGCCCCAGCAGGCTACCCGCAGCACCACGGCCTCTGCGGAAGACACACAGTGCCCCCACATTCCGGAAGCTGCCACAGGAGCCACCTGATGGCCAGCGGCACACCCAGACCCCCACTGCGGCGACTTGGGAGCATGGGCTCTCTGGCTGCAGAGCGGCTGTCCTGGGGGGCGGGTACTGTCAGCAGGCCTGGGCCTGGAGGCTCAGCCTGCCCAGAAGACAGTGCCGCCCTAGGGGGACGCTGAGGCCTCGAGGGGTGAGCGACGTGCCCAGCTCTGCAGTGTCGGGGGCAGGACTGGGACTCTGGTTGCAGAGGCGCTGCGCTCACTGGCCCTGCGCCACATGAGGTTTGGTGAGAAACGCTGACGCCTGAAAGCACCATGCCGTCACACCAGTGGGGTGGCTCTGAGGGGCCGTCTTTAGACTTCATCTTGTCGAGTTAATGACAGTTAATTCTCAAAGTTAAACTAAAAATTATAAATTCACTTCTAGCTAGAATGTGTAAAAAGGCGGCGGCTCTGTGCCACCGCTGGGATGTGCAGACCGCTGCCACCTGAGCCCAGGGCCGCACGGGGAGGGGTGGGGGCAGCAGGGCTGCTGCTGGGGCACAGACCACACTTCCTGCCCTGAGGGCCCTGGGCATCTGCAGAGCCGGGCAGATCAATGCTGGGTGAAGAAAGTCAATCCTCACCCCTGCTCAGCCCTACTTGCTGACTCGGCCTGACCCTGCCCACCGCTACAGGCTGATGCCTGACCCCGATTCTGCTCAGAGCCGCCTGGTTTCCAGAGAGCAGCGTGGGTGGGACACATCCCAGCTGTCACAGGTCGCTTGTCCCCCGGTAATTCTAAGCACACATGTGGAGATTTAACATGTTACACCAGTGGAAATTCTGCATGGCATTAAAGGCCTTGGGGAGGCTGCACCCTGGGCGCTGTCCCAGCCCGAAGGTACCATCTTAACAGCACAGGGTCTCGCCTGGGAGAGGTTTTCATGGGGAGGCCAGCCTCCTGCACACCTGCTCACCCTCCTGCTCCTGACCACCTGAAACCAGTCACTTTTGTGGCTGTCCCTAACGAAGTGCTAGGAAAAGCCGTGCTTTCAGTTAAGGACAAAAATTAAGGGCTATACAAATGAAATACTAGCACCTTTTCTAGCAAAATGACAGACAGCATTCAGTTACAATCCATTCAGAGCAGAGTTCTATTTGTCCATGGGATCAGTGACAAACACCTTTGCAGGAGAAGACCCTGCTGGTCTTCAGACCCACCTGCCAGTGACATGTCTCCTGGGTGCCACTCTGCCAGTGTGCACGCCAACACCCCGGGTGACCACGCTCTGGTGCTCTGAGCAAGGAGTGCCATCCCCTCCAATCTCACAAAGGCAAATGCTGAAGAGCAAGCCCACAGCCAGCATGGGCGCCCTGGGAAAGCTGAGGGTCAGGGTCCGCAGGGCCTGTGTGTTACGACCTTTCTGGGATGCCAGGGGGCGCGAGGGGCTCTCTGAGGGCCTGTGTGTCCAGCAGTCAGACTTCAGACCCAAGCGGTAAGTATGAGCCCTCCAAGAGGAAGGGTGTGGGCCCGAGATCACCTGGGGCTTCCCGCACCCCCTGTAGGATGGTGCTGGTGCCTGGCAGGGAGCCTCAGTGGCTCTGCAGAACAGGAAGAAGCTCAGGGGCCGGAGGCCAGGGCCACCACTGCCTTCGGAGACCCCTCCGACCTGTCCAAAAACCTCCCCTGGACACGAAACTACTCTGTCACTTTCCAGGCTCAGCCCTCAGCACTGCCCCTGGCTCCAGGGAAGCCTGTGTCCCCACGCTCACCCAGCTGGGTCCTCGGGCACCCAACCCTGCTCCCAGGTGACAGGCAAATTCCAGGTCTGCTGGTGGAAGTCCTCTGGGGCTTCCAACAATGAGAACTGCTCTGTGCCAGCAAATCTGTATAGAAATGCACACACACACACTCACCCAGGCACATCTCCATGCACACACACACACACTCACCCAGGCACACATCACTCACACACACACCCCCTCACCCAGGCACACACCTCCATGCATGCACACACACACCCTCACCCAGGCACATCTCCACACACACACACCCCCCCTCACCCATGCACACACCTCCACGCACACACACACACACCTGTGTGATCCACACCTCTGTATTCACCATGCACACCCCATGCACACCACACCTGTGTTCCACACCTGTGCACTCACCATGCACACCCCCCACACCCACACCTGTGTGATCCACACCTGCATACTCACCAGGCACACCCCCCCACACCCACACCTGTGTGATCCACACCTGTGCACTCACCAAGCACACCCCATACACGGGCACACAAGTCCTCACCGCATGCACATCCTCACCAGGTCTGCACACGTACCAGGATACCCGCGCAACACCTGCACTTCAAACCCAGGCACGCACACACACACACACCTTAAACACAGCCACGCCCATGTGGACATGCTGCATTAGGAGGCCCTGATATTCCAAGAAAGATCCATAACACACAGGCCCTGTGAGTCTCTAGCCTGCAACTCTGATAAAGCTGTATTTTGCATATTGGAAAAAACATTTTTTTGAAAAAAGATAATGTAATTATTTATTACTCTCAGATGGTTGCTTTCTTCAGGCCACAAAAAGAGCAGGAGAAGGTGCAGTTTGCACACAAGTGCAGGACACACACATGTGCACACATGAACACAATGCACGTGTGCACAGACACACGTGCACACACGGACACAACACACGTGCAAACGGACACACGTGCACACATGACACACACACGAACACAACACACACACGGACACGTGCACACATGGACACATGCACACAGACACACACGTGCATACATGAATACAGCACATGTGCACACGGACACACCACACACGTGCACACAGACCACACATGCACACATGGACACAATACACGTGCACATACGAACACATGCACACACGGACACAATACACGTGCCCACGGATACACAACACATGTGTACACATGGACACAATACACTTACACATGTACAGACACACAACACACATGGACACAGAACACGTGCACACACCCAAACACAACACACGTGCACACAATGTACACACACACATGCACAGACACATAAGATGTGCACACCCAAATGTGCACACACATATGAACACAACACGTGCACACACGAACACATGCATGTGCAAACAACACGTGCACACATTAACACGTACACACACACCAACATGTACACATAGACACAGCATGTGCACAAACACACACGTACACACAACACACATGTACACAGACACAACACATGCACACACAGACACACGTGTACACACAGATATGGTGCACACAGAATGCACACTCATGCCCAACACATTGGTACACACAGGCACGCAGATGCACCAGAGGGGGCAGGGGAAGATGCCGCCTTCCTGGCCGGGTTCATCCAGGAAACAGCACGTTCCTTACCTGGGTGGGAACGAGATGTCCAGTTCATACAGCCTGTCCTTAAAGACAGACAGCTCCTTATCAAACTCCAAGAGCTAAGGGAAGAGCAGAAAATAAAGTCACACGGGTTCTCCTCACTGGGGCAAGCGTGTCTGTGTGCAGCTGGGACCTCGGATGCTTGGTGTGACATCTGCCCTTCCTAGAGCTGCCACGTCTGCCACCAGAAAGCTCTGTGGTGCCAGCGGGCTCTGGTGCCCACCGCCTCTGCTGCAGACAGTGGGACCTGCACCGCCCGTTCCTGACGTGCTCTGCTCACCCAGAGACCTTTCTCTGTTGGGGACGCCAAAGAAGCGCTCACAGCCTCGGGCACCACCGTGGCAGCCCCACAGCAGCCTCTCTTGGGCTCTTGTCCTGGGGCTGGCTCCGTCAGCAGAAGGAACCATGTCAAGTAAAGAGGAGAGTGAGCAACGTCAGCTTGGTGACAGCAGGTCAGGGAAAATGGCTCCAAGGTGCACATTGATGAGATTCTGAGGGCAAAATGTTCATTCCCACATGCAGGGGACAGCAAACAGCCTAGCCCCCGAGACTCTTCCAAAACAAGCCCCAGACGGGCCCGGCCGTGTTCCTGAGCGGTCACCACGCTCACCCTGTCACCCCAGCAGGACTGGCCCGGCCGTGTTCCTGAGCGGTCACCAC